CAAACACATTCCCTCCATATGAAGCTGCTTTTAAGCTAAAGTTGGCAGCATCTTCATTTGGGGTTGTCAGATACATGGTAGCATACGCTAATAGTCATGCATTTAGTTATGGGCCGCAAGTAGTTAGGGAGCAAAGGAGGGAGAAAAAAATTGTTGAATCAATTGGAGAATAAGGGAGTGATTAAGCCAGCTGAACCATATTTCTGCCGTGTTTGTGGGAGGAGGTTTTACACTAATGACAAACTTGTTAATCGTTTCAAGAAAATTCATGAGTGTGAACATAAGAAGAGGTTGAACCAGATAGACCCTGCTAGAGGGAAGAGGAGGGTGAATTTGGTAGCCAAGTACTCGATGCAGCAAGGGATATTTTGACGCCAAAAGTGGGATATGGTTTAGCTGATGAGTTGAAAAGAGCAGGGTTTTGGGTTAAGACTGTTTCTAATAAGCCACAAGCTGCTGATGTTGCATTGAGGGATCACATGGTAGATGTCATGGACAAGAGGAGAGCTGAGTGTGTAGTGCTTGTGTCTGATGATTCAGATTTTGTGGATGTGTTGAATGAGGCAAAATTGAGGTGTGTGAAGACAGTTGTTGTTGGGGATGTCAATGATGGAGCTTTGAAAAGAGTTGCAGATGCTGCATTTTGCTGGAGGGAAATATTAATGGGGAAGGCTAAGAAGGAGGCTGTATCTGTTGTGGGGAAGTGAAAGGACCGAGATATGTTAAAGAGATTGGAGTGGACATATAACCCTGATGCAGAGAAAGAATATGATTTGAATAGTGAGTCTAATGATGAAAGCGAGAATGAGTTTATCGATGGCATTATTGATGGAGGTGATGCTGGATCTATTCAGAAGGAAGATACTGGTGCTTGGTGGGATTTGGATACTGATTCTGATGTCTTTACTTCTCAATTGTCTGAATAATTAGATACAGTAGTTATTAAGTTTGTAACTTGGTAAGCTTCATTTAACTTCTTCTGGCTTGCATATTTGAGAAATTCTAGAGCTTGTTAAAGTATCTCTTGCATTTCATCACATTTACTTCTTACTCGTTTTTATCATATATTGCTCGAATTCAGGCATGAGATCTTCATTCTAATACATGGTTATACGATGCCCTATGATACTCCTCAGTCCTTGCCAAGTTGCCATCGCAGAGATGGATGGCTAGGGAGTTTAGGAACATTTGTTTAGAAATTCTATAGACTATAGGTAGTAAATCTTCAGTTTTTCTGTCATAAGTTTATGATATTATAGAAAGTTGAGGTTGAAACTTACTACTGATCAAATTACTTTGGAGCACATAAGGTGCTTGGAATAAAATGTTAGATTTGTTTCTCTCTTCATCTGGTGGTGATTGTGATCGTTGCTACTAATTTTATTGCACCCTTTTTTTCCGTTCTCCATTATAGAAACCAAAAGGCTGGAATCTAGTTACTGATATTATTTTTGTAGTCCCTTTTATTGTAAGTGTTAATGCATTTTGTATGTTTTGTTAAGAGTCAGATTTGTTAGGTGTTTTTCACTTTGCGTTAATCATATATAGATAGAGCATGTTCATCAATTAAAAGTTAAAATAAATAATATATCGAACAATATCTACATTTTTTATAGTTGAAAGATTAAAAATGTGTATCAAAAAGTTAAGAGATGAAAATTATTCAAAATCATAATGTTTAAGGATCAAAATTGACATCTAACCAGAGTAAAAGGGCCATGTGGTAGATGGGATGCGAATGAGCCAAGTGCTTTGTTTATAGAGAAAGGCAGCTAAACTAAGTGACATCTAACAGTTACTTATTCTCACACTTTAAATAATTAATATTATATTTTTTTAATATGATTACTTATTATATTTTTCTATTATTATATATTTTTAAAATTTTATATTTTTAATTTCTTACTAAATTAAAAAATATAACAATTAATTAAAATAAAAAAATAATATTAATAATTAAATATGTAACAATAACATCACATTTGGCAAAAGGTACCTGTTTGCCCTTTAACTTTTCAAATTTGAAGGTTTTTACCCTCTATATTACAATACATGGATTTTTACTCTCAATATTTTCGAGTTTGAGGAAATGAGGTAAAATTTAACGCCAAAGCGTCACATGTAGTATGTGCACCGTTGGCCTCCGTCGAGTATGCACATGTCAGCGTCAACTCAGACTTTTTTGACAACTTGGCATGCCAACTTGGAACCCCATGAGCAGGAAGTCTACTTGTTACCAATTTTATTTGTGAGCCCCATTAACTAAAGTTTGAAAAAAAAAAGATTAAATCCTCAATTCAGTCCCTCAACTTTCATTTTTAAATTAAATTTACCCTCAAACTTCAAAATATTGTGACTTGACACCAAAAATATAATTTAATAAATAAAAATTTCTTTTTTTTTTTTCTTTTTTCTTTCCTTTCCTTTTTTTTTTCTCCTTCTCCTCCCAACTGGGTTCAAGGAACCCAGCACCAGCGCCTGGGTTCTTTCCTTTCCTTTTTTTTTTTTTTCTCTTTCTCTTTCCTTTTCATGCTTTCTTCATATGCTCCTGTGATTTCAGCAGAGAAGGCCTATCACGAGCAGCTCTCAGTGGCGGAAATCACAAACAGTGCCTTTGAGCCGTCGTCCATGATGGCAAAGTGCGATCCTCGCCATGGCAAATACATGGCTTGCTGCTTGATGTATAGAGGAGACGTGGTGCCCAAGGATGTGAATGCAGCAGTGGCAACAATCAAGACCAAGAGGACAATCCAGTTCGTGGATTGGTGCCCAACCGGATTCAAGTGCGGAATCAACTACCAGCCTCCTACTGTGGTTCCAGGCGGAGATTTGGCCAAGGTCCAGAGAGCTGTCTGCATGATTTCAAATTCAACCAGTGTTGCTGAAGTGTTCTCTAGAATCGATCATAAGTTTGATCTGATGTATGCCAAGAGGGCATTTGTGCATTGGTATGTCGGCGAAGGTATGGAGAAAGGAGAGTTCTCGGAGGCCAGGGAGGACTTGGCTGCTCTTGAGAAGGACTATGAGGAAGTTGGGGCAGAGTCAGCAGAAGGAGAGGATGATGAAGGTGATGAGTACTGAGCATAATTGCTTCAAAAAGCTTTTATTAATTCTACCAATGGGCTCATTGGTCTGCATTAGTGAAGGTGGTTAGAACTAAGCTAGTATTTTGCGTTTCCATCTTATAGTGTATTCCGCTTCAAGTTTAATGAATCTGATTATCTCAAATCCAAAATTTCCAGCTTCTCTTGCTAGTTCTCTTCCAATCTAAGTTGCAAAAATTACAATTATCATATAAAAATAGAATATCCATCCCCAATGATTTGGGATGGGTTCGCCTGGTTCCCTGAACCCAGGCCTTGGATTCCATCGAACCCAGGCCCTGGATTCCATCGAACCCAGGCCCTGGATTCCATCGAACCCAGGCGTGCTGGGTTCGCCTGATTCCCTGAACCCAGGCCCTGGGTTCCTTTGAAGGAACCCAGCACCTGGGTTCCTTTGAAGGAACCCAGCACCTGGGTTCGAGGAACCCGCGCCTGGGTTCCTTTGAAGGAACCCAGCACCTGGGTTCGAGGAACCCGCGCCTGGGTTCGAGGAACCCGCGCCTGGGTTCGAGGAACCCGCGCCTGGGTTCGAGGAACCCGCGCCTGGGTTCGAGGAACTCGCGCGCTGGTGCTGTGTTCCTTCAAACCTAGTAGGGAGGGGAAGGAGAAAAGGAAAGAAAAGGAGAAAAAAAAAAGGAAAGGAAAGAAAAAAGAAAAAAAAAATTTTATTTATTAAATTATATTTTTGGTGCAAGTCACAATATTTTGAAGTTTGAGAGTAAATTTAGTTCAAAAATGAAAGTTGAGGGACTGAATTGAGGATTTAACTTTTTTTTTTCAAACCTTTAGTCAACGGTGGGGCTCACAAATAAAATTGGTAGCAGGTAGACTTCCCGCTCATGGGGTTCCAAATTGGCATGCCAAGTTGTCAAAAAAGTCTAAGTTGGCGTTAACATACATGTGCATACTTGATGAAGGCCAACAACGCACGTGTTACACGTGACGTTCCGACGTTAAATTTTACCTCATTTCCTTAAACTCGAGAATATTGAGGGTAAAAATCTATGTGTTGTAATATAGAGGTAAAAACCCTCAAATTCAAAAAGTTAAAAAGACAAACGGGTACCTTTTGCCTTAATTTCTAGCTTTTAACTTTTGCCGGTAAAAGTAAAAGTTAAAAACAGGTGGGAGAAGTCTGAGATGGGAGTCATTGCGAGAATCGGGAACGTTGCTGGCGGCTTTTGCTGTTATGCAGGTTTCAGAGGTGAAAACCGTTAATTATTGTTTTGTTCCTTCCAATTGGCGAATTGGATTAGGTTAAAAGGGATTCTTGGTTGAGAAAAAAACCATCGGATAATATCTCGTTATATAAACTTTTGCACGTTTTGTTGGGTACTCTTTCGTTGATAGAGATGCAAGTGGCTGGAATTGCAAATGGTGCCTAGATATATATTTTTTTATTTTTTATTTTTTGTTTCGACACAGAAAATGGTGCCTAGATTTGAATTCATTATCTCTCGTTCACTTGTAGAATATCTTTAGATTTTAATAAGTTTCAGTTATATAGTAAAAATAAAATATGAGTACTAGACTAAAATTAATTGATTATGTAAAAAAATTAAAATATTTTGACATTTAAAATTTTAAAATATTTAATTATAGTTATTAAATAAATAAGATATAATATAAATATTAATTTTATTAAATTTATTATATAACTGTAATTAAATATTTTAATATTTTAAACATTAAAATGTAATAATTTTTCATTTTCTCATAACTAAGAGGAGAAAAATGTACGCACCAAAATAAATTCAATGAGTATTATCTTGAAGTTTGGTTTGAAAGGACAGCTTTTACTTGTAACCATAAGTTTTTTAAGCCCTTCAATATTGAAAACAATATAAAATATATTTAACATATCTAGTAATTATTTTAATTAATATTATATATATATATATATTTAAAAAAAAACCCAAACTAAACGAAGCACAAAATGAATTGCACTAAACTAGTTATTTTTGGGTAAGAGTAGGGTTGTCATTTAACTCATTTTCGTTCTTCATTTCCTCGGGTTTTAATTAACTCTTGTTAGTTCTGTGATTCTTTCTAATTAATTATTTTGCTTCTGCCACTACAGAGTACAGACCAAAAAAGAAAAATCTTATGCGTAAACAACTCTTTCAAGCAAGGGCTTTGAATCAAGCGTTTTTCACTCCAATACACTACTCAACAATCAACCAAGTAATACCATACAAATTCTGTGGATTTACTCATAAAGAGAAGGATCAGATAACCTCGG